CTAGCCCTATAGAGGATTATACAAAACATCCTAAAGCTATGTTAATTGCTTTTAGAGAGATGGGAACTTCATTTTTTTTCTAGACAGGGTTTCTCTGTAGCTTTGGAGCCTGTCCTGGAACTAGCTCTTGTAGACCAGGTTGGCCTTGAACTCACAGAGATCTGCCTGCCTCTGCCTCCTGAATGCTGGGATTAAGGCGCACACCACCGCCCGGCCCTATTACATATTTAATAAATAAAAATCACGATTGTGGTGAACTCACAAATAAAAGCATGACACAGTTAGATGAAGATAGCCATTCACACACTTACCCCATCTCAAGCCCTGTACAGAACAACTCTTCAGAGCGGTGGTTCTCAGCCTTCCCGACGCTGTGATTCTTTAATACTGTTCCTCACGTTGTACTGACCCCAGCCATAAAACCACTTCCGATGCTACTTCATAGCTGTAATTTTGCCACTGCTATGACTCGTAATGTAAACATCTGATATGCAGGATATCGGATATGTGACCCCTGTGAAAGGGTCATTCCACCCTGACAGGGGTCCCCACCCACAGGCTGAGAACTCCTGTTCTATACACTTAGAATGGCCGTTCTGGAGCTAGAAAGCTTTGTTAAGGATTTTACACTTCCACCGTCAATTACATTTTTATGCTGTTATCTACCACAACAAAAGAAGAGGAAAGATGGCAGAGTTGAAACTGGAAAGCAATGCTCTTCTGTCCTCTTAACGACTCGTGAGACCTTGCTTGCTCCTTCGGACATTGTCACCCACACATCCACACCTACATGGCGGGGTGGGGTCCACGTATGAGGGACAATGAGCAGAGCTTTGACATGAAACTCTTCTCCTGAGGGTCAGAAAGATGCTCTTCCAGAGGACCCAAGTTTAGTCTCTAGCACCTACTTCAGGTGGCACCCTAGTTTTAGGGGATCCAACACCTTCTTCCTTAGACACCAACACACACACACTAAAAAAGGAAAAAGAAAGAAAGAAAATACGTCCTTAAAATTTTTAAAGCCAGGCATGGTGGCACACACCTTTAATCCCAGCATTTGGGAGGCAAAGGCAGGTAGATCTCTGTGAGTTCAAGGCCAGACTGGGCTATTGAATGAGTTCCAGCACAGCCAGAGCTATACAGTGAGACCAAGTCTCAAAAACCAAACAAACACAAAACCAACATTACTCCTTTACTTCTCCACCTCCACTACTGTAAATACTTATGAAAAAGTGAAAACCAGTTAAGAACATAAATGCCCAAAGGCTTCCCATCCCTCCCACTCTGTGGAGAGCTCGCCTTCACATCTCATCAGGCTGGAGTTGCGTGTCCTCTTTAATAAAGACCAAAACTTGAAGAACTCTAACATTTCTATTTCTTGACTGGGCGTGGTGGTGCGCACCTTTAATCCAGCACTTGGTAATCCAGCAGAGGCAGGTGGATCTCTGTGAATTCAAAGATAATAGTCTTGTCTATATAGAAAGGTACAGAACAGCCAGGGCTAACCAGAGAGCCCTGACTCAACATTTTTCTTTTTAAATTATTTATTTAATTTTTTTAGATTATGATTTAATTACATCATTTTCTCCTTCTCTTTCCTGCTCTCTGCCATGAGGATACTAGACTAAACTTCCAAAACTGTAAGCAAAGCCCCAATTAAGTGCTCTCTTTGATAAGAGCTGCCTTGGTCGTGGTGTCTTTTCGCAGACCAGAACAGTGACTGTAGTAGGCCATAGGCAGGTGCTCCACCACTGAGGTGTATCCCCAACTGGTAACAATTTCACTTCAGCCTCATAGTAGCGAATAATTTTGCTGCATCTTAGCAGGAGTGTTCCCTCTTACAGCACTTTAAATATATCAACCCATACCTTCCAGATTCCAAGCTGCCCACTCAGACACTTCTGGAGGCTGTCTAGTCCAGGTGAGGAACTGTGCTCTGGCTTTCAAAATTATCTCCATGCCCACTGCTGCTAAAGTGCACCGAAACATGCCCCACTTGCACTATCAGCCACTGGAAACCATTCTCAGAGACCATGGGACTCTGTGACTCACACACACACACACACACACACACACACACAACCTCACCTGGTAGCCAGCATTTAAAACAATTGTCAATGAACAAAATGCTACATGCTCAATGCCCGAGAAAGTCTTTGTCAGAGATGATAACATGCTCCGTTGTTCCTGCACCGTGCTGTTAAATCATATCCCCAAAGTATGTATTTTATGTGCACCACGCGTAGCTAAGTACAGTGTTCCTCTGAGATAACTGGCACCTGAGTCACCTCAGTCTAATGGTGCTCACTGTGAGAAGCCTTGTAAACATGGCACTGCCAGAAGCCAGCACTCCGCTCGGGCAGTAAGGACTGCCGTACTCACACCACCTTCTGTGGAGCTGGTCTCATGGAAAAAGCGCAACACCGAGTCTTTCACAAATCTGTCCCCTAATAAATGCAAAGATGAGACCTGTGTGGATAGACGGTATCAGATGAACAATGCTAAGCATGATGATTCACGGAGATGATGTGAGGCTCCCTCAGGAATGTGGCTTGTGTGTCAAACACAACATTAAAACATAGAAAATCTGGGCGTGGTGTGCACATCTTTAATCCTAGCGCTCAGGGGCAGAAGTCTGAGGATCTCTGTGAGTTTGAGGCCCTCTTAGTCTACAGAACAAGTCCCAGGACAGCCAAGAGTATACACAGAGAGACCCTCTCTCAAAATAAATAAATAATCATAGAAGAACACAGCACTGGATGCCCATCTTTGTAAACACAATGCTTCACTCCCAATCACTCATGCGCCTGCCTACTTAAACACAGACTAAAGATATATATTAGTGATCAACACCCTGCACACACCATATACTGCTGAACACAATGGTCCACATTCAGTAGTTCAGGAAACCTGATGTTGTCAGTCTAGAGACTAGTCATATGGACACAACCTAGGAACACAGCATTGCTTGTATCTTCACCCTCTTTGGTTGCCGCATGATATTTGGGGATAGACAGCGATCGAATGTGCCTTTGTCTCCTCCTTGCCATTAGCAGTTGCCCCGCTTTTCACAGTGTCATAATGCACCTGCCCTGAGGTCGTGTGACTGCATCCTCTCCTATTTGCTGTGTGATACATATGTGACAATACGACGCACGTATACATGAATAAGGTGTATGTCCCCTCTTTCGGTCATTGCAGGGCTTAGTATTTTCCATAGTGACATGATGCAGCCGAGTTTCATGGTCTTGTTATATGACATCCTCAGCAACACTGTGACATAGTATGAATCAAGAACTGGCTCCTCTTTGGGTTATTAGATAAACGTTAGATATTAGATGTATTATGCAGTGACACAAAGGGACAAAAAATGTGTGTCCCCTGCTGCTGTCATATACTTTATATGGAATAGTGTAAACCAATCTGTACCATGTGATGTGTGACTGATAACCTCTGTCCTCTCAACTGATACATCCCATCTATACACATGTAATGTAACTCAGGTCCGCATCCCAGCTCATCTCGTACATGATACTTTATGTAATGTACTCAGACTCAGAGCTGATATGCTTATTCTTCGTCCCTATGAGGACAGATGGCAGCCCTGGCACATCATGTCACAACATCACAGATGATGTCACATCACTCGAACAACAGACTGTGGCTCACTGTCTGCATGCCATCTCTAGACCGCCATGTTAAGCAACAAGGTGAAAAACTGTAACTCCAGCCTCCATTCCTGACCATCTTAAGGGACCATCTATGTGCAGTGGCCTGATGCGATGCAGCATGGTGCTCTGTTCTCCTCTGGGCCACCGTGTGACGTCACAATGTACTATGACTCAGTCTCCATTCCTTCTCATATGACATATAATATGACTTAGTGGTAAGATGTGTGGAGGTATATATCTTCCATTAGATGTCCTATGATATCACAGATGACATGGTGGTGTGGTGAAACCAGTCTTCATCCTTCTTGGCTGTCATAGGCTGTAATATGCTACCTAGGGAAGCAATGTGACCCAGCTTTCAGCTTTTGGGGACATCATAAGATAGACAGTAATATTGTGTCTCAGGCATGTGTCCCTTTGGGCTCAGTTTGTGTCTTAATCAGTGTGCTAAAGAGACACTTAAGAATTTCTCACACTCCAATATCCAGAGATGAGCATGTGAACATTTAATGGCTTTTTTAGAGCCATGGTCTCATGGATCTCAGGCCAGCCTGGAATTCACTACATAGCCAGAGCTGACCCTGAGCTTCTGACTGTGCCTCCAGCTCCTGAGTCCTGAGATGACAGATGTGCACCACCATGCCTGGTTTATGTGGTACTGCAGATAGAATCCCAGGGCGTTGTGTATGGTAGGCAAACACTCTACCAACTGAGCTATATCCCTGCATTGGCTGGTTTCGTGTGTCAACTCGATACAAGCTAGAGTCATTATAAGGGAAGGACAAGGAGCCTTAGTTGAGGAAAGGCCTCCACGAGATGCAGCTGTAATTTTCTCAATTAGTGATCAATGGGGGAGTGCCCAGTCCATGGTGGATGATTCCACCCCTGGGCTGGTGGTCCTGGGTTCTATAAGAAAGAAGGCTAAGCAAGTCAGGGGGAAGCAAATTAGAAAGCAGCTCCTTTCCATGATCTCTGCATGAGATCCTGCCTCCAGGATCCTACCCTGTTTGAGCTCCTGTCCTGACTTCCTTCAGTGGTGACAGCAATGTGGAAGTGTAAGCCTAATAAACCCTTTCCTTCACAACTTGGTTTTGGGTCATGGTGCTTTGTTGCAGCAATAGAAACCCCAACTAAGACAATCCCCAGCTACAGATCATGACTGTTAAGTGTATGACTTAAATGATTCCTCATAATTTGGCATCATAATTTGATATACTGTCAACCTTAAATTACAGCTACTTTAGAGTATACTTATCCCTACAAATTACTTCTTCATGTACAGGTGTCTTAATGACTTTCCTATTGTCGTGAAGACACCATGACCAAGGCAACTTATAGAAGGGTTTATTGAAGTCTTAGTTTCAGAAGATGAGTCCATAACCATCATGGTGGGGAGTGTGGCATCAGACAGGTGGGCATGGCCCTGGGGCAGTAGCTGGTAACTTACATCTTGATCCATAAGCATGAGGTAGTGATGGGGGGGGGGGAGAGAGAGAGAGAGAGGAGAAAATAGGGTGTGGGTTTTGAAAGTGCAAATCCAGCCCCCAGTAACACACCTTTTCCTACAAGACCACACCTCCTAATCTTTCCCAAATAGTTCTACCAACTAAGGACCAAGTATTCAAATATATGAGCCTATGGGTTCATTCTCATTCAAACCACTACAAGGTTTCTAAATTGTAATTTTTTAAATTATTTAGGCTGAGCAGTGGTGGCGCTCACCTTTAATCCCAGCACTTGGGAGGCAGAGGCAGGCAGATCTCTGAGAGTTCGGGCCAGCCTGGTCTTACAGACGTAGTGCCAGGACAGACGCCAAAGCTATAAAGAGAAACCATTCACTGGCTTTTACCTCTACCTCAGTCCGAAATGGTGGTCCTGCCTCCAGGAATCTCGAAATGAGACTGAGAGCTGTATCCTCCCATTTTATAATCCTCTCTAGGGCTCGGATTAAAGGCATGCACCGCCCGGTTTATATGGCAATTAGTGTGGCTATTGGGATTAAAGGTGTGTGTGTCCATTACCTGGTCTGTAAGGCCGTGGGGCTGTTTTATTCTCAGATCTTCAAAGCAAGCTTTATTTATTAAAACTCAATTGAAATACCACAACCTTGCTTTAGAAACATATCATTTCTCTTATTTGTGCTACAAGCTAAATTAAGAATTTTGAACTGCCAGGGGCTAGGGAGATGGCTCAGTGGATAAAGGACCTGCTGAGCAAGCGTGTAAGTTAAACTTCCCAACACCCCTTTCTCTTCCATTCTCCAGTTGCAGGCTCTTGCTGGGGTTTACAGTTGTCCATGGGGGTGGGATATCTTTTAGGCTCTAATAAAACTGTCCTGTGCTTCCATTTGAGTCCATTCTTTTTTTTTTTTTTTTTTTTGGTTTTTCGAGACAGGGTTTCTCTGTGGTTTTGGAGCCTGTCCTGGAACTAGCTCTTGTAGACCAGGCTGGTCTCGAACTCACAGAGATCCGCCTGCCTCTGCCTCCCGAGTGCTGGGATTAAAGGCGTGCGCCACCACCGCCCGGCCCTTGAGTCCATTCTTAAATTATTTTATGAATGAGGCTATGAACCCCAAAGGGAAGCTGGATTTCCCCTGTATTGTTCTCCTGCAGTGCCCACGGTGGAGGACAACCCGCTGGCCAGCGCCCACCTCAGCGGCCTGAGTCCGCGCACACTCCGTGCTCTCCGGATCCGCTTTCTTAAAACATCAGGATGCAGAGGCCAGGGCGAACATCTCCAAAATCTGGAACTCAGCGAGCCCCAGCCCAACCCCAACTCACCCCCAAACAAAGAGCGTCTAGGAGTCCCAGGAGGGGAGGGGCGAGTCTTATTGTGCGTGACGCAGGAATCTGAGAGCCCACGCTGACTGGAGGGGCGGGGCGCATGCGTCATCCGCGCCGGAGTTTGACGTAAGAGGGCGGGGCGCGCCGGGGAGCCAGAAGAAGCAGTTTCGGGGGACGGCGGGTGGCCGGCCGTGCTATGGACCGCTACGCGGCCGCCGGGGATGAGGCGGCCGACCGGGCCCGGCAGCAGGAGCGGCACTACCAGCTGCTGTCAGCGCTGCAGAGCCTGGTCAAGGAGCTGCCCAGGTGAGCGGGGGCTGGGCCGGGGGCGGGGACCCGAGGACTGGACCCGGGGTCGGTACCGGGGCGGGGGCGGGACGGAGGTCGCGGTTGGGGTACCGAGGCGAGGGCTGGGGCGAGAGGCCGGGAGCGAGGGCCGCGGCGGGAGACCGGGGCACCGAGCCGGAGGCGGGGGCTGGAACTGGGGACCGAGCCGGGGACGGGGGCTGGGATGGGGGACCGAGCCGGAGGCGGGGGCTGGAACTGGGGACCGAGCCGGGGACGGGGGCTGGAACGGGGGACCGAGCCGGGGGCGGGGGCGGGGGCTGGGACGGGAGCCGGGAACGAGGCGGGGCAGGGGGGACCGGGGTCGCGACCGCGCTCACCCAGAGTTCTGCCTGCAGCTCCTTTCAGCAGCGCCTGTCCTACACAACGCTCAGCGACTTGGCTCTGGCGCTGCTCGACGGCACCGTGTTCGAGATCGTGCAGGGGCTTCTGGAGATCCAGCATCTCACCGAGAAGAGCCTGTACAACCAGCGACTGCGGCTGCAGAACGAACACCGAGGTGCCCGAGGGGGGAAAGGGAGGGGGTGGCGACGGAACTTTCCCAGGGCAGCTCTGGGCGCCGGAGTCTCGGGTGGGCAGTCAGGCATGCAGAGCCTGGGCTGGCTCTTTTGGCCTGCTACTTAGGAACTTCTTAACTTATTTGCGTTCCCTAGGTCCCCTCAGACAGGATGACCTCGCTGACTGTAGGTCTATTGACAGCTCTGTCGTACTGGTTAGATAATGCGTTATTCAGAGCACCTTTCCATTTGAATCTCAGGTTTGATAGGTCTCTGGTGTCCGCATAGAAAGCCCTTCCTAGCTGGGTGGTGGTGGCGCACGCCTTTAATCCCAGCAATCGGGAGGCAGAGGCAAACAGATCTCTGTGAGTTCGAAGCCAGCCTGGTCTACAAGAGCTAGTTCCAGGAAAGGCTCCAAAGCTACAGAAAAACCCTGTCTCGAAAAACCAAAAAAAAAGAAACCCCTTCCTATAAATTTTGCTAGGCTGCGCCCGTTGTACCATTAGGGCTTCCTTTCTTTTTCCTCGCTCCAAGCTTGACTCGGGTCACACATTTTAGGAAAGTTGAAAGCATAGTGTGACGATGTCTCTGTGATCTCCACTGATACTTCACTATAGATCTTTGGGCTTTGTAAATTGCTTTGGATTTTGTTACTGAGGACTGAACCCACGGCCTCTCACATGCTAAGCAAGTTCTCTAGATTAAGTTAAATCTACATGCAAACATTCCCTGCCTTTCTGGGATAGCCTGTGCTGCCAGACAGAACTTCCCCATTAGACATGTGTGTTGGATTTTTTAAAACCTTTTCCAATTCCTACAGAGATGATTAGGTGGTTTTTCTGTTAGTACAGTGAGTGATAATGATTTCTAAATGCCTGACATGCACTGCATTCTGGGAATGCATCCTGTATGGTTATGATGTATTTTTCTTTTATGTATGTTGTTGTTTAATTGTGTGTGTGTTTATGTGTAGTGTTCATGGGGGTGTGTACACATATATGTGTGCACTTGTTGCCCATGCTTGTGGAGGCCAGAGGTAGGTATGATATCCTAGGTAGGATTACTATTGCTGTGATGAAACACTGTGACCAAAAGCAACTTGAGGAAAGGATTTATTTGTCTTATACCTCAACATAACTGTTTATCACTGAAGGAAGTCAGGACAGGAGCTCAAACAGGGCAGAATCCTGGAGGCAGGAACTGATGTAGAGGCCATGGAGGGTTGCTGCTTACTGACTTGCTCCCTGTGGCTTGTTCAGTCTGCTTTCTTACAGAATCCAGGACCAGTAGGTTCTGGTGGCAACAGAGGTGGCACCGCCCTCAATGAACTTGGCCCTCCCTCAATCAATCACTAATTAAGAACTGCCATACAAGCTGGGCAGTGGTGGTACACACCTTTAATTCCAGCACTAGGGAGGGAGGCAGAGTCAGGCAGATCTCTGTGAGTTCAAGACCAGCCTGGTATACAAGAGCTAGTTCCAGGACAGGATCCAAAGTTACAGAGAAACCCTGTACCCTGTCTCTAAAATTAAATAAATAATAAAAAAAATGTTTTACAGGTTTACCTACAGCCCGATCCTACACACACACACACACACACACACACACACACACACAGATATTTCTCTGTGTAGCCCGATCTTGGAGACATTTTCTTAACCAAGGCTTTTTCTCTCTAATGACTTTAGCTTATGTCAAGTTGATATAAAACTAGCCAGCACAGCACTGAATGTCTTTTCTGTTTCTCTCCCCCTCTTTTTTTTTTTTGGGTTTTTTTTTTTTTTTTTTTTTTTTTTTTTTTTTTTTTGGTTTTTTGAGACAGGGTTTTTCTGTGGCTTTGGAGCCTGTCCTGGAACTAGCTCTGTAGACCAGGCTGGTCTCGAACTCACAGAGATCCGCCTGCCTCTGCCTCCCGAGTGCTGGGATTAAAGGCATGCACCACCATCGCCCGGCTTCTCCACCTCATTTTTGAGACACCAAATGTGGAGCTCACTGATTAGAGTATGTGGCTGGCCAATGAGCTGTAGGGATCAGCCTCTCACAGAGCATGCTACTGCGCCCAGCTTCTGACTTCACTCACTGAGTCATCTCTCATCCTTGTCTGTTGAATTTGATTCATGAAAATCTTAGGAGTTTTGTCTTTATTCCTGACAGACAACAACCTTGTAATTTTCTTATTTTATGGGTATGAAGGTCATGCTGGCCTCAGAATATATTGAGAAGTCTCTTCAGTTTTCCAAGAGTTTTATTTGGTCACCCAATGCTGGAGTGGCTGTGCCTTTAAAATGTTTTGATAGATAGGTGTATCCGTTCACAAGTCTAAAGTGCATGACTCTTCATTCTCTTCTCTTCCTTTTTGGTGTTCTGAGACGGTGTAGTCTGGAACTGGCAGTCTTCCTGCCTCAGCCTCTCCAGTGCTGGGATTCCACGTCTGGGCCAGGCCCTGCTTTGCTCATTGTTTTCAGTGTTCTAGTTGCCGTGTGTGACAGGAGGAGGCTTCGCCAGGCTGCTCCTCTTATATCCATTATTCTTCCTGCATTCACTCTTCGACCTGATCTAGAATTGGTCTTTATTCTACAGAGCCCTTTTATTTGATTTGTTTTCAGAAGACTTGGACCAGGCTCTGGTGCACCTGGCACTGCAATCCTCTGCTGCCTTTAGCCAGATCCAGAAGGTGCTGACTGGGATGGGCCACCTTGCTTTCCTTGGTCATTACCATTTTGAGGTCCCTCCTGAGCAGGTAGCTAGAGTGGAATCTGGAAATTGACCTGGGACTTTTTTTGTTTTGTATTTTTTCTTTTGGTTTTTTGAGACTGGGTTGTTTTTTTTTTTTTGGTAGCTTTGAAGCTGGTCCTGGGACTGGCTCTTTAGAGCAGGCTGACCTTGAACTCACAGAGATCCACCTGAGCACTAGGTGTGTGTCACCGCCACCCCACATAAGATAACTTCTTTTTCCTTCGAGACAGGGTTTCTCTGTGTAGCCCTGGCTGTTCTGGAACTAGCTCTGTAGACCAGGCTGGCCTAAGACTCACAGAGATCCTCCTCTCAAGTGCTGGGATTAAGGGTGTTTGCCACCACGGGAGCAGCTGGGCTGAACAGACTGAAGGAGATGGTGTATTGGTGCATATACCCATTGCCCCAAGCCTTGTCTCCTTATGTTCATTGCAACCAGATAATTAGGCAACCTTTCTTTCCCCTTGTGTTGATGGGGTTATGTTGAGGTGGCCTTCATTTTCAAGCAGTGATACATGGTGTTATTGAGGTACATACAAAATGCTGAGAACTAGGCACTGCAGGCGCTATTGGAGTCAAGGGAACCTCAGGAACCTTCCTGAATAGAGCTGTCCTGTGACCCTCTTCTCGGAATAAGAGTGTTAGCTTTTGAGTTTTTTCAGAGCCAACCAGCCAGCCACACTCCTATTTTATGCAGACTGGTGTGATTGTAATTCCTTACCGTCCCATGCTCCCATCAGAGCAGGTAGTTTGTACGCGTCCATATTTGTGCCAGTTTATCAGGAACCCGGCACTTTGCTTGCTGGTAGTGGGTAAAGCAGTAGACTTCCCAGTGCAGGACCCTGTTGGTGCACAGGATGGGCCTGCGCACATCCTTCACTCCTCTGGCTGCTGAGCAGGGCTGCTCTGCTTTCCTGTAGGGCGGGACCAAGTTTGGTTTGACACAGCTGCACTGCTTACAGAGCCTCTTCCTCCTCTTCTGGGCTTTTGGCTCTGTAAAACTTCAGTAGGTGTCCTACAGTGACATCTTATTGAAGACGTCCAAGATAGCACACCTGAGTCCAGCAGCCACCTGCCACAGGCACCTGTCTGCCTCCTGTCCCTGCCCTGGGTGTATACTGTGCTCTGAGATCATTGCCATACCTGCCATACCTGCAGGCCTCTCAGCACTCTAGAGGTGAAGGGCTTCTCAGATGAGGCCTCTAACCCAGCTTTGGGCTGCCTCTCTTCCCAGCACCTACCCCTGCTGACAGCTCTTCTTCCCTCCTAGTGCTCAGGCAGGCCCTGAGGCAGAAGCATCTGGAAGCCCAGCAGACCTGCCGGCCCCACAACTTGCCAGTGCTCCAGGCAGCCCAGCAGCGTGAGCTGGAGGTAGGAACTGGGACAGGATAGCTGAGCCGGGCTATCTCAGTGGAGGGGCTGAGGGTAGTTTATAAGCTGAGCTCATGGCTTGTTGGAGGTATGATGGGGTCTACTTCATGACTTTTCTCCATGGGGACTAAGGTGTGCTCTAGCTGAGAGGAGAGTCAACCTGTCTGTCACTCCCCTGTTCCTCCATTTAAGCG